TATACAGTGGGGGAAATAAGTATTTGACCCCTTGCTGATTTTGCAGGTTTGCCCACTTACCTACAAAGAATGCTTATTTTTCCTCATCAGATGGTTATCAGTTTTTATAAATTCATATGATGTGATTTTCTGGAATTTTCTTTGGGATTCTGTCTCTCGCTGTTAGAATGTACATATGATTAAAGTTATAGATCGTTGCATTCTTTGTAAGTGGGAAAACCTGAAAAATCAGCAAGGGGTCAAATACTTATTTCCCCCAGTGTATATACGAACATCAGTTTTGATAAATATTCACTTCCTGTAATTATTTAGCTTCACAAATGTTTGGTTTAATGTACTTTGTGACCAGAGATGATGCTTAGTTGATGTCTTATTGCTCCTGGTGTGATTCTGGATTATTCTGGGACCTTTCATGCTTTGAGGCCCACAAACTCAAACCCTGAAAGTCTTGTCTGTTTTTGTCTGCTGCAGTAAAAACCTGCAAAAATATGTTTATTTTTTTGTCTTTAGAATCTGTAAAACAAAAGGAAAAAAAAGTAGACTCGGACAATTTAAGCTCACCCACTCAAACGCTTGCACACTGGGATGATAGCGTTCTTCATTCTGTGGGTGGAGAACACAGCTTTTGAATGCTCACCACTCAGGATGTGAATGCGTAATGTTGGCCTTCACACCTAATTGTTCGGAAGTTAACTCTGGCCAGGTGCTCATGAATATTCATCCGCCCGTGCTGATTGGGCGCCGTGCTGGCCAGAGCCATCTGCTCGCGCTGGTCAATCAAATCAAACAGAGATCCAAACCCGCCCCTCATGAATATTTGGAATCTGAAAGTCAGAGCCAAGAGTTTACTAGCATTCTGCTTCAAACGTCAAAACAGGAAGTCTGATGGCATTTTTCTGTGCTAACAAACTATCGAAACTCACCTGGAAAAAGGTCATTTTGCCCTCCTTTTTAGTCTCTTTTGCCCTCCTCTTTAGTCTCTTTTGTCCTCCTCTTTTGCCCTCCTCTTTA